TTCGAAAGGAAATGTTGCTGTAGCTTCGTCAGCTGGTACGAAAAAAAAGAAGTTCTTAAATGTGTTAGCAAGTTAGGGCAGCCTTATTTTTAATAGTCTCATGTATTTATAGAAATATGGTATATTTTTAAGAGTGAAAAGGCAAATAGAATCCTTTTCGGATAAAAATGTGGATGTAGGTTCATCAGTTGGTAAGAAAAAAGAGATGGTTGTGAATGTGTAAGCAGGTTTTTGGAATTCCAATGATAAATTTTTAGCGGGGCATAATAATTACAAAACATGTATCTTTAAATCAGTATTGTTCGCTCGAATATCATTTCAGTGTTTTTCCCTCGAAATCAATTCTCGCAAAAATGTCATCATCGCTTAATTCTGCATATGTAATTTTATGCAAAGAAGTAAAAAAAAAATTGAAAAGTTTTATTTGTTTAGAAATGCTATAACAAATATAAACCTTGCCACTAAAAGATAAGGTGTCGTAAATCGATCTACATTGTTTGAATTATATATCCTTAATTTTCAGTGAAAAAAAGGTTTAATTCTTTTTTGGATGAAAATGTAGATGTGGTTTCGATTCTAAGAGAGAAAAATATGAATTCTTAAGAATGAGAATACGAAAGCTTTTATTTCTGTATTTGTAGTTCAAATAAGCATGGCATATAGATAATAGTATTTGAAATATATTTACAGGAATTAAAGGAGGATTGGACTCTTTTTCTGCTGAAAATGTTGACGTCGCTTCACCTCTAGGTAAGACAAAAAGATATCCTTTGACTGCACATATATGCTTATACATATACTTTGGAATTTTAAAACAAGTATAACGCATTGGATAATTTTTAAAATGGTATTCAAAATATGCTATATTTTCAGGAGTGAAAAGGGGAACGAATTCTTTTTCGTCTGTTAATGTGGATGCTGCGTCATCAGCTGGTGTGTATTTTTATAATTGAAATATGGGGTTGGCGAGCAGTATTCAAGCTCATTAATTAAGTTGAATAATTCAATAAGCACCAGGAGCAAAGCAAGAAACAGACATTTTAGTCATAAAGCTTGGAGTGAATAGAAAAGTGAATTCTTCTTCTGATGGAAATGTTGACGTTTCTTTGCCTCTTGGTAAGCATAAAAGAATCTATGTGGCTGTATATGTTTGACTATGGAATTCTAACTACAAATGAATAGCAGAGCACAGTTTTAATAGTTACATTGAATTTAAAATATGCTATTTTCAGGAGTGAAAAGTCAACTTGCCATTTCGAAAGGAAATGTTGATATAGCTTCGTCAGCTGGTACGAAAAAAAGAAGTTCTTAAATGTGTTAGCAAGTTAGGGGAGTCTTATTTTTAAAAGTCGCATGTGTTAATAGAAATATGGTATATTTTTGGAGTGAAAAGGCAAATAGAATCCTTTTTGGATAAAAATGTAGATGTAAGTTCATCAGTTGGTAAGAAAAAAGATGCTTGTGAATGTGGTTTGTGAATGTGTAAGCAGGTATTTGGTATTCTAATGATAAATTATTAGCAGGGCATAATAATGACAAAACATGTATCTTTAAATCAGTATTGTTCGCTCGAATATCATTTCAGTGTTTTCCCCTCGAAATCAATTCTCGCAAAAATGTCATCATCGCTTAATTCTGCATATGTATTTAATGCAAAGAAGTAAAAAAAAATTGAAAAGTTTTATTTGCTTAGAAATGCTATAACAAATATAAACCTTGCCACTAAAAGATAAGGTGTCGTAAATCAATCTACATTTTTTGAATTATATATCTTTAGTTTTCAGTGAAAAAAGGTTTAATTCTTTTTTGGATAAAAATGTAGATGTGGTTTCATCCGATTCTAAGAGAGAAAAATTTGAATTCTTAAGAATGAGAATACGGAAGCTTTTTCATCTGTATTTGTAGCTGAAATAAGTATAGCATATAGATAATAGTATTTGAAATATATTTACAGGAATCAAAAGAGGATTGAACTCTTTTTCTGCTGAAAATGTTGACGTCGCTTCATCTTTTGGTATGACAAAAAGATTTCCTTTGACTGCACATATATGCTTGTACATATACATATACTTTGGAATTTTAAAACAAGTAAGACGCGTTGGATACTTTTGAAAATAGTATTCAAAATATGCTATATTTTCAGGAGTGAAAAGGGGAGTGAATTCTTTTTCGGCTGTAAATGTGGATGCTGCGTCATCAGCTGGTGTGTATTTTAATAATTGAAATATGGGGTTGGCGAGCAGTATTCAAGCTCATTAATTAAGTTGAATAATTCAATAAGCACCAGGAGCAAAGCAAAAAAAAAAAAAAACAAAAAAAAAAAACAAAAAACGGACGTTTTAATCATAAAGCTTGGAGTGAAAAGAAAAGTGAATTCTTTTTCTGATGAAAATGTTGACGTTTCTTTGCCTCTTGGTAAGCATAAAAGAATCTGTGTGGCTGTATATGTTTGACTATGGAATTCTAACTACAAATGAATAGCAGAGTATAGTTTTAATAGTTACATTGTATTTAAAATATGCTATTTTCAGTAGTAAAAAGACAACTTGACATTTCGAAATGAAATTGTGCATGTAGCTTCGTCAGCTGGTACTAAAAAAAGAAGTTCTTAAATGTGTTAGCAAGTTAGGGAACATTATTTTTAAAAGTCGCATTTATTTATAGAAATATGGTATATTTTTAAGAGTGAAAAGGCAAATAGAATCCTTTTCGGATAAAAATGTGGATGTAGGTTCATCAGTTGGTAAGATAAAAGATGGTTGTGAATGTGTAAGCAGGTATTTGGAATTCTAATGATAAAGTATTAGCGGGGCATAATAATGACAAAACATGTATCTTTAAATCAGTATTGTTCGCTCGAATATCATTTCAGTGTTTTCCCCTCGAAATCAATTCTCGCAAAAATGTCATAACCGCTTAATTCTGCATACATAATTTTATGCAAAGAAGTAAAAAAAAATTTGAAAAGTTTTATTTGCTTAGAAATGCTATAACAAATATAAACCTTGCCCTAAAAGATAAGGTGTCGTAAAGCGATCTACATTGTTTGAATTATATATCTTTAATTTTCCGTGAAAAAAGGTTTAATTCTTTTTTGGATGAAAATGTGGATGTGGTTTCATCCCATTCTAAGAGAGAAAAATATGAATTCCTAAGATTGAGAATTCAAAAGCTTTTTTTTCTGTATTTGTAGTTCAAATAAACATAGCATATAGATAATAGTATTTGAAATATATTTACAGGAATTAAAAGAGGATTGAACTCTTTTTCTGCTGAAAATGTTGACGTCGCTTCACCTCTTGGTAAGACAAAAAGATTTCCTTTGACTGCACATATATGCTTATACATATACTTTGGAATTTTAAAACAAGTAAAACGCGTTGGATACACTTTAAAATGGTATTCAAAATATGCTATATTTTCAGGAGTAAAAAGGGGAGTGAATTCTTTTTCGGCTGTAAATGTGGATGCTGCGACATCAACTGGTGTGTATTTTTATAATTGAAATATGGGGTTGGCGAGCAGTATTCAAGCTCATTAATTAAATTGAATAATTCAGTAAGCACCAGGAGCAAATCAAGAAACGGACGTTTCAATCATAAAGCTTGGAGTGAAAAGAAAAGTGAATTCTTTTTTTGATGAAAATGTTGACGTTTCTTTGCCTCTTGGTAAGCATAAAAGAATCTGTGTGGCTGTATATGTTTGACTATGGAATTCTAACTACAAATAAATAGCAGAGCACAGTTTTAATAGTTACATTGAATTTAAAATATGCTATTTTCAGGAGTGAAAAGTCAACTTGCCATTTCGAAAGGAAATGTTGATATAGCTTCGTCAGCTGGTACGAAAAAAAGAAGTTCTTAAATGTGTTAGCGAGTTAGGGGACATTATTTTAAAAGTCGCATTTTTAATTTCCAATTATTAGTGCTGATTACGATCGATATCGACATAATATTGTCGATAACGTCGATATCGACATCGGATTTGTTCTTGGACCTGTATGTTTATTTATAGAAATATGGTATATTTTTAAGAGTGAAAAGGCAAATTGAATCCTTTTCGGATAAAAATATGGATGTAGATTCATCAGTTGGTAAGAAAAAAATATGCTATTCTCAGGAGTGAAAAGACAACTTGACATTTTGAAAGGAAATGTTGATGTAGCTTCGTCAGCTGGTACGAAAAAAAAGTTCTTATATGTGTTAGCAAGTTAGGGGAGTCTTATTTTTAAAAGTTAATAGAAATATGGTATATTTTTAGAGTGAAAAGGCAAATAGAATCCTTTTCGGATAAAAATGTAGATGTAAGTTCATCAGTTGGTAAGAAAAAATAAACTTGTGAATGTGTAAGCAGGTATTTGGAATTCTAATGATAATTATTAGCGGGACATAATAATTACAAAACATGTGTCTTTAAATCAGTATTGTTCGCTCGAATATCATTTAAGTGTTTTCCCCTCGAAATCAATTCTCGCAAAATGTCATCATGCATATGTAATTTTATGCAAAGAAGTAAAAAAAATTGAAAAGTTTTATTTGCTTAGAAATGCTATAACAAATATAAACCTTGCCACTAAAAGATAGGGTGTCGTAAAGCGATCTACATTGTTTGAATTATATATCTTTAATTTTCAGTGAAAAAAAGGTTTAATTCTTTTTTGGATGAACATGTGAATGTGGTTTCGATTCTAAGAGAGAAAAATATGAATTCTTAAGAATTAGAATACGAAATCTTTCATTTCTGTATTTGTAGTTCAAATAAGCATAGCTTATAGATAATGGTATTTGAAATATATCTACAGGAATTAAAAGAGGATTGAATTCTTTTTCTGCTGAAAATGTTGACGTCGCTTCATCTTTTCGTATGACAAAAAGATTTCCTTTGACTGCACATATATGCTTGTACATATACTTTGGAATTTTAAAACAAGTAAAACGCGTTGGATACACTTTAAAATGGTCATCAAAATATGCTATATTTTCAGGAGTGAAAAGGGGAGTGAATTCTTTTTCGGCTGTAAATGTGGATGCTGCGTCATCAGCTGGTATGTATTTTTATAATTGAAATATGGGGTTGGCGAGCAGTATTCAAGCTCATTGATTAAGTTGAATAATTCAATAAGCACCAGGAGCAAAGCAAGAAACAGACGTTTTAATCATAAAGCTTGGAGTGAAAAGAAAAGTGAATTTTTTTTCTGATGAAAATGTTGACGTTTCTTTGCCTCTTGGTAAGCATAAAAGAATCAGTGTGGCTGTACATATTTGACTATGGAATTCTAACTACAAATGAATAGCAGAGCATAGTTTTAATAGTTACATTGTATTTAAAATATGCTATTCTCAGGAGTGAAAAGACAACTTGACATTTCGAAAGGAAATGTTGATGTAGCTACGTCAGCTGGTACGAAAAAAGAAGTTCTTAAATGTGTTAGCAAGTTAGGAGAGGCTTATTTTTAAAAGTCGCATGTGTTAATAAAAATATGGTATATTTTTAGAGTGAAAAGGCAAATAGAATCCTTTTCGGACAAAAATGTGGATGTAGGTTCATCAGTTGGTAAGAAAAAAGATAGTTGTGAATGTGTAATCAGGTATTTGGAATTCTAATGATAAATTATTAGCGGGGCATAATAATGACAAAACATGTATCTTTAAATCAGTATTGTTCGCTCGAATATCATTTCAGTGTTTTCCCCTCGAAATCAATTCTCGCAAAAATGTCATCATCGCTTAATTCTGCATATGTATTTTATGCAAAGAAGTAAAAAAAATTTGAAAAGTTTAATTTGCTTAGAAATGCTATATCAAATATAAACCTTGCCACTAAAAGATAAGGTGTCGTAAATCAATCTACATTGTTTGAATTATATATCTTTAATTTTCAGTGAAAAAAGGTTTAATTCATTTTTGGATAAAAATGTGGATGTGGTTTCATCCGATTCTAAGAGAGAAAAATTTGAATTCTTAAGAATGAGAATACGGAAGCTTTTTTTCTGTATTTGTAGATGAAATAAGCATAGCATATAGATAATAGTATTTGAAATATATTTACAGGAATTAAAAGAGGATTGAACTCTTTTTCTGCTGAAAATGTTGACGTCGCTTCACCTCTTGGTAAGACAAAAAGATTTCCTTTGACTGCACATATATGCTTATACATATACTTTGGAATTTTAAAACAAGTAAAACGCGTTGGATACACTTTAAAATGGTCATCAAAATATGCTATATTTTCAGGAGTGAAAAGGGGAGTGAATTCTTTTTCGGCTGTAAATGTGGATGCTGCGTCATCAGCTGGTGTGTATTTTTATAATTGAAATATGGGGTTGGCGAGCAGTATTCAAGCTCATTAATTAAGTTCAAGAATTCAATAAGCACCAGGAGCAAAGCAAGAAACAGACGTTTTAATCATAAAGCTTGGAGTGAAAAGAAAAGTGAATTTTTTTTCTGATGAAAATGTTGACGTTTCTTTGCCTCTTGGTAAGCATAAAAGAATCTGTGTGGCTGTATATGTTTGACTATGGAATTCTAACTACAAATAAACAGCAGAGTATAGTATTAATAGTTACATTGTATTTAAAATATGCTATTTTCAGTAGTAAAAAGACAACTTGACATTTCGAAAGGAAATGTGCATGTAGCTTCGTCAGCTGGTACTATATCGCAAGTGAGTTAAGGCTACGTATGGAGTTTTCTATGCAAAATAATTAATTAAGACCCATTATTGCTATACATACCGCAAAGAAAATGTTAAGACCTGTTATCTAATACATTCTTGGTACCCACGATATGCGACTGCCAGTACACATTATGACGTCATATCATGACGTCATAGACCTTTACTACACAAGGTTATAAGAAACATCAACAAAATCGCTTTGGTGCAAGGGCATACCTTACTTTGTTTTACAGAAACAAGGTATGAAGAAAAGCAGAATATTCCAAGGATTTAAGATATTGCTGCACAAATGTCGACACTGAAATTGTTTAATTACTATTTGCACAGTTCTAAGCTGAAACAGGGTAAAAATGTACAGTCCAGTGTAAGTTTAGGAAAATTTTTATCGATTGAAGAAGAGGATAGGATTTGTGCAGCAATTTTATTAATTTTAAGAATATTTTCCTTAATATTATACTTTATTTATTTTAAATTTAATAGGATATGCCCTTGCGCCGACGTTGTTTTGTTGATGTGTTTTATTACCTTGAATTGGAAAGAACTATGACGTCATAATATGACGTCATAATGTGCACTTGCAATAATATACTGTGGGTACTAAGTATGTATAAGAAAATCAATTTGAACTTTCTATGTACATAAAGTATACAATTTATGCATTTTTATTAGCTCATTTGCATAGAAAACCTATATCTAGCCTTAACTCACTTGCCTAAAAAAAGAAGTTCTTAAATGTGTTAGCAAGTTAGGGCAGCCTTATTTTTAAAAGTCGCATGTGTTAATAGAAATATGGTATATTTCTAAGAGTGAAAATGCAAATAGAATCCTTTTCGGATAAAAATGTGGATGTAGGCTTATCAGTTGGTAAGAAAAAATATGCTTGTGAATGTGTAAGCAGGTATTTGGTATTCTAATGATAAATTATTAGCAGGGCATAATAATGACAAAACATGTATCTTTAAATCAGTATTGTTCGCTCGAATATCATTTCAGTGTTTTCCCCTCGAAATCAATTCTCGCAAAAATGTCATCATCGCTTAATTCTGCATATGCTATTTTATGCAAAGAAGTAAAAAAAAAATGAAAGTTTTATTTGCTTAGAAATGCTATAACAAATATAAACCTTGCCACTAAAAGATAAGGTGTCGTAAATCAATCTACATTTTTTGAATTATACATCTTTAATTTTCAGTGAAAAAAGGTTTAATTCTTTTTTGGATAAAAATGTGGATGTGGTTTCATCCGATTCTAAGAGAGAAAAATTTGAATTCTTAAGAATGAGAATACGGAAGCTTTTATTTCTGTATTTGTAGATGAAATAAGCATAGCATATAGATAATAGTATTTGAAATATATTTACAGGAATTAAAAGAGGATTGAACTCTTTTTCTGCTGAAAATGTTGACGTCGCTTCACCTCTTGGTAAGACAAACAGATTTCCTTTGACTGCACATATATGCTTATACATATACTTTGGAATTTTAAAACAAGTAAAACGCGTTGGATACACTTTAAAATGGTCATCAAAATATGCTATATTTTCAGGAGTGAAAAGGGGAGTGAATTCTTTTTCGGCTGTAAATGTGGATGCTGCGTCATCAGCTGGTGTGTATTTTTATAATTGAAATATGGGGTTGGCGAGCAGTATTCAAGCTCATAAATTAAGTTCAAGAATTCAATAAGCACCAGAAGCAAAGCAAAATACAGACGTTTTAATCATAAAGCTTGGAGTGAAAAGAAAAGTGAATTCTTTTTCTGATGAAAATGTTGACGTTTCTTTGCCTCTTGGTAAGCATAAAAGAATCTGTGTGGCTGTATATGTTTGACTATGGAATTCTAACTACAAATAAACAGCAGAGTATAGTATTAATAGTTACATTGTATTTAAAATATGCTATTTTCAGTAGTAAAAAGACAACTTGACATTTCGAAAGGAAATGTGCATGTAGCTTCGTCAGCTGGTACTAAGTGAGTTAAGGCTACGTATGGAGTTTTCTATGCAAAATAATTAATTAAGACCCATTATTGCTATACATACCGCAAAGAAAATGTTAAGACCTGTTATCTAATACATTCTTGGTACCCACGATATGCGACTGCCAGTACACATTATGACGTCATATCATGACGTCATAGACCTTTACTACACAAGGTTATAAGAAACATCAACAAAATCGCTTTGGTGCAAGGGCATACCTTACTTTGTTTTACAGAAACAAGGTATGAAGAAAAGCAGAATATTCCAAGGATTTAAGATATTGCTGCACAAATGTCGACACTGAAATTGTTTAATTACTATTTGCACAGTTCTAAGCTGAAACAGGGTAAAAATGTACAGTCCAGTGTAAGTTTAGGAAAATTTTTATCGATTGAAGAAGAGGATAGGATTTGTGCAGCAATTTTATTAATTTTAAGAATATTTTCCTTAATATTATACTTTATTTATTTTAAATTTAATAGGATATGCCCTTGCGCCGACGTTCTTTTGTTGATGTGTTTTATTACCTTGAATTGGAAAGAACTATGACGTCATAATATGACGTCATAATGTGCACTTGCAATAATATACTGTGGGTACTAAGTATGTATAAGAAAATCAATTTGAACTTTCTATGTACATAAAGTATACAATTTATGCATTTTTATTAGCTCATTTGCATAGAAAACCTATATCTAGCCTTAACTCACTTGCCTAAAAAAAGAAGTTCTTAAATGTGTTAGCAAGTTAGGGCAGCCTTATTTTTAAAAGTCGCATGTGTTAATAGAAATATGGTATATTTCTAAGAGTGAAAATGCAAATAGAATCCTTTTCGGATAAAAATGTGGATGTAGGCTTATCAGTTGGTAAGAAAAAATATGCTTGTGAATGTGTAAGCAGGTATTTGGTATTCTAATGATAAATTATTAGCAGGGCATCATAATGACAAAACATGTATCTTTAAATCAGTATTGTTCGCTCGAATATCATTTCAGTGTTTTCCCCTCGAAATCAATTCTCGCAAAAATGTCATCATCGCTTAATTCTGCATATGCTATTTTATGCAAAGAAGTAAAAAAAAAATGAAAGTTTTATTTGCTTAGAAATGCTATAACAAATATAAACCTTGCCACTAAAAGATAAGGTGTCGTAAATCAATCTACATTTTTTGAATTATACATCTTTAATTTTCAGTGATAAAAGGTTTAATTCTTTTTTGGATAAAAATGTGGATGTGGTTTCATCCGATTCTAAGAGAGAAAAATTTGAATTCTTAAGAATGAGAATACGGAAGCTTTTATTTCTGTATTTGTAGCTGAAATAAGCATAGCATATAGATAATAGTATTTGAAATATATTTACAGGAATTAAAAGAGGATTGAACTCTTTTTCTGCTGAAAATGTTGACGTCGCTTCACCTCTTGGTAAGACAAACAAATTTCCTTTGACTGCACATATATGCTTATACATATACTTTGGAATTTTAAAACAAGTAAAACGCGTTGGATACACTTTAAAATGGTCATCAAAATATGCTATATTTTCAGGAGTGAAAAGGGGAGTGAATTCTTTTTCGGCTGTAAATGTGGATGCTGCGTCATCAGCTGGTGTGTATTTTTATAATTGAAATATGGGTTTGGCGAGCAGTATTTAGGCTCATTAATTAAGTTCAATAATTCAATAAGCACCAGGAGCAAAGCAAAAAACGGACGTTTTAATTATAAACCTTGGAGTGAATAGAAAAGTGAATTCTTTTTCTGATGAAAATGTTGACGTTTCATTGCCTCTTGGTAAGCATTAAAGAATCTGTGTGGCTGTATATGTTTGACTATGGAATTCTAACTACAAATAAATAGCAGAGCATAGGTTGAATAGTTACATTGTATTTAAAATATGCTATTTTCAGGAGTGAAAAGACAACTTGACATTTCGAAAGGAAATGTTGATATAGCTTCGTCAGCTGGTAGGAAAAAAAGAAGTTCTTAAATTAGTTAGCAAGTTAGGTCAGCCTTATTTTTAAAAGTCGCATGTGTTAATAGAACTATGGTATATTTTTAAGAGTGAAAAGGCAAATAGAATCCTTTTCGGATAAAAATGTGGATGTAGGTTCATCAGTTGGTAAGAAAAAAGATGGTTGTGAGTGTGTAATCAGGTATTTGGAATGCTAATGATAAATTATCAGCGGGGCATAATAATGACAAAACATGCATCTTTAAATCAGTATTGTTCGCTCGAATATCATTTCAGTGTTTTCCCCTCGAAATCAATTCTCGCAAAAATGTCAGCACCGCTTAATTCTGCATACGTAATTTTATGCAAAGAAGTAAAAAAAAATTGAAAAGTTTTATTTGCTTAGAAATGCTATAACAAATATAAACCTTGCCACTAAAAGATAAGGTGTCGTAAAACGATCTACATTGTTTGAATTATATATCTTTAATTTTCAGTGAAAAAAACGTTTAAATCTTTTTTGAATGAAAATGTGGATGTGGTTTCATCCGATTCTAAGAGAGAAAAATACGAATTCCTAAGAATGAGAATACGAAAGCTTTTATTTCTTCAAATTTGTAGTTCAAATAAGCAAAGCATATAGATAATAGTATTTGAAATATATCTACAGGAATTAAAAGAGGATTGAACTCTTTTTCTGCTGAAAATGTTGACGTCGCTTCACCTCTTGGTAAGACAAAAAGATTTCCTTTGACTGCACATATATGCTTATACATGTACATATACTTTGGAATTTTAAAACAAGTAAAACGCGTTGAATACTTTTAAAAATGGTATTCAAAATATGCTATATTTTCAGGAGTAAAAAGGGGATTGAATTCTTTTTCGGCTGTAAATGTGGATGCTGCGTCATCAACTGGTGTGTATTTTTATAATTGAAATATATATGGGGTTGGCGAGCAGTATTCAAGCTCATTAATTAAGTTGAATAATTCAATAAGCACCAGGAGCAAAGCAAGAAACAGACGTTTTAATCATCAAGTTTGGCGTGAAAAGAAAAGTGAATTTTTTTCTGATGAAAATGTTGACGTTTCTTTGCCTCTTGGTAAGCATAAAAGAATCAGTGTGGCTGTACATGTTCTAACTACAAATAAATAGCAGAGCATAGTTTTAATAGTTACATTGTATTTAAAATATGCTATTCTCAGGAGTGAAAAGACAACTTGACATTTCGAAAGGAAATGTTGATGTAGCTACGTCAGCTGGTACGAAAAAAAGAAGTTCTTAAATGTGTTAGCAAGTTAGGAGAGCCTTATTTTTAAAAGTCGCATGTGTTAATAGAAATATGGTATATTTTTAAGAGTGAAAATGCAAATAGAATCCTTTTCGGATAAAAATGTGGATGTAGGTTCATCAGTTAGTAAGAAAAAAGATGGTTGTAAATGTGTTAACACGTATTTGGAATTCTAATGATTAATTATTAGCGGGGCATAATAATGACAAAACATGTATCTGTAAATCAGTATTGTTCGCTCGAATATCACTTCTGTAATCAGTGTTTTCCCCTCGAAATCAATTCTCACAAAAATGAAAAAAGAGATGGTTGTGAATGTGTAAGCAGGTTTTTGGAATTCCAATGATAATGGAAATGTTGATATAGCTTCGTCAGCTGGTAGGAAAAAAAGAAGTTCTTAAATTAGTTAGCAAGTTAGGTCAGCCTTATTTTTAAAAGTCGCATGTGTTAATAGAACTATGGTATATTTTTAAGAGTGAAAAGGCAAATAGAATCCTTTTCGGATAAAAATGTGGATGTAGGTTCATCAGTTGGTAAGAAAAAAGATGGTTGTGAGTGTGTAATCAGGTATTTGGAATGCTAATGATAAATTTTTAGCGGGGCATAATAATTACAAAACATGTATCTTTAAATCAGTATTGTTCGCTCGAATATCATTTCAGTGTTTTTCCCTCGAAATCAATTCTCGCAAAAATGTCATCATCGCTTAATTCTGCATATGTAATTTTATGCAAAGAAGTAAAAAAAATTGAAAAGTCTTATTTGCTTAGAAATGCTATAACAAATATAAACCTTGCCACTAAAAGATAAGGTGTCGTAAAGCGACCTACATTGTTTGAATTATATATCTGTAATTTTCAGTGAAAAAAGGGTTGAATTCTTTTTCGGATGAAAGTGTGGATGTGGTTTCATCCGATGCTAAGAGAGACAAATATGAATTCCTAAGAATGAGAATACGAAAGCTTTTATTTCTTCAAATTTGTAGTTCAAATTAGCATAGCATAGAAATAATGGTATTTGAAATATATTTAAAGGAATTAAAAGAGGATTGAGTTCTTTTTCTGCTGAAAATGTTGATGTCGCTTTACCTCTCGGTAAGATGTTGATGTTAGATTTGACGATGGAATTTTATCTTCAAAGAGATAGCGTAGTCTACTTTTCAAAAGTTACCTGTATTTATAGAAATATGCCTTAATTACAGGAGTGAAAAGGCAAATAGATTCCTTTTCGGATGAAAATGTTGATGTAGTTTCATCAGCTGGAAAGAAAAAAATGCTTGCTGGCAAGTTTTTGAAAAAATCTTATCATGAATTAATAGCAGGTCATATATATTTAAACTTGCGCTTTCTTTACCCTATAGGAGTGAGGAGAGGGGTGAACTCATTTTCAGGTGAAAATGTGGATGTTGCTTCAAATGTTTGTAAGTGTATATGATTTTTTCTGTGTGAAAATGTTTTTAAGGAATCTTCCTCAAGTTGATAACAGGTATCTTACAATTTAAGCCTAGTTTTGCTTAAGAACAAATAACTGTTATAAAGTAATACCAATTCTCGATTCTATCTTGGTCTTGCTTTCTACTGAAACAAGGAAGCTGTAAATACTAGTACGTTGAAAAAAGAATAAATATTGTGTTTATTTGCAAAACATAATTATGAACTTATTTTTATTTTGTTTCAGAAATCTAGACAGCATTCATGTGAACATGGGAACTTCTGATGATATATGTTTTAAGTACTAGTATTTTTGCCACGAGCTGAACAAACAATAAACCATTTTAAATGAAGTATGTCTTCAGTGTTTGATGAACATGTATATGATTTATTTCAATAAGGCATTGGGATCCACTAAGAGATAATATATATAAAGTTCTAAATCATATAAAATATATTTCTAAATTTTCCTAAAATCATTTACCAAAGAATATTATAAGACATCAAAAAGAAAAGACGAAAACAGTATATTTACTTTTAAAATATCATTATTTTTTTAATAGAATAATTCCGTTTCAAAACTGCTTGAAAAAAGCTGAATTAATTTTTTTCTTCTTTTACAAAAGTTGGTGTATTCACAAATATTAATTATAACTTTTTTAGCAAATTAAATACAATATATCAGTAAATTAAATGCTTGCTGACGTTTTCCATACAGATTGTTAGGCTATCATTTATATACTGAACTACCTACTAGTATTCCGCGATAATGACAAGGAGCACTTGGGTTTGCGTGACTTATTGACAGAGGATGCTAAAATCTTCGATATCACCTGATCCTACCTCTGAATTGAAAGAGGACCGATTTGCTCTGCTCTAAGTTTGCATTGTTTCTCCATCTTTTTTACTATTTGTGCTCTAGTAAAAATGTTAACTGCGCTAGACACAAAAACTGCATAACTTAACATCATACTATTTTTTCCATATTGTTTTATCTTTTCCCGTCGGAACCTTAATGGCTTCATAGGACTGGGATTAACTCAATATGGTTTGGATTATCGAATATTTAAACTTGCAAAGATCTTGGGATGAGAGAATAGGTAGGACAACCGGGTGTCTTACATACTAATGAAGGGTCATACTAAAAATAGAAAAAAGCACTGTAAATCAATAAAAAAAAATAAAGAACATTGTGACGTTAATTGTCAAAGAAGTTAATATTTTATTTACTAAAACTCTTTCTTTAAAGTATTTCTATGTAACGTTTAGTAAAGTTACATGTTTTGGTATAAAGCATTCAAAATAAGAATAAATATTCTCAAAGCAAAACAAGAACAGTCATGTAGAAAGTAAGAAAATTTGATAATTTCTAATGGTTATGTATGCACGGATTTACAAAGTCATTTCATAAGGAATTTAATCCACATGGATCTATATATGTACATAGTTTCTCGTCCACAATAGAATTGATACACTGTATTCACATCTGTATATTTCAGATATTGCTCAATCTCCGATGGTAGACACATAAAAAGTTCAAACTAAAAAATAAAAAAAAAGTTAAGAATTTTTTAGGATACAGTTTAGCATTTTATTCATGAAGTTCAAAATTAAAATGAAAATAAAAAAAGTTCAAACGTAAAATTATAAAGGATAGAACAATTCATTTAAAAAATGAAATTAAGCATATATTTGGAATGAAGCTGTCATAATTTATTCTTGTTAATATTAATGATATTAAATTTTTAAAACTTTACATTAAAACGTTTTCACTTTCAAACGGGCTGCTAAAAATTCCTATCCAAACTTACGTTATCAACATATCCGGTGAAATGCCCCAGTTGACTTCCGGCTCCGATCACAATACCACTCTGTCTTTTAATAATGTGTCCTAGAAAAACAAAGAATCCCAATAAATTGAATCTCAGAATTGTTTGTGTTATTTAATGACAAAAGGGGATGAGAATGAGTTTTCTTTGGATAAATCAAATTTTCAGAACCATTTCAGAACCAGTTTAGAATGCTTTTCTTGTATAATTTGAATTTCATAAGTAATCTGCAATATGGGGGACATCATGTTGAATTATGTATGACGCATGCTCCATGATAGAAGGAAATGGCCGTACCCGTTAGTCTAACATTAGCTCTCACGTTGTTAATAACAGCCACTGCATTCTGTCCATTGTAGATAAAGATCACCTTATTCATGACATTTTTCTGTAAAGAGAAAATTGATGTTTCATCTTTTTCCTTTAATTGTGTTTTATAAAGAAGTATTTTTTGTTTCAAAAGACGATATGAAAACCAAATTATTTAATAATGATACATGTATAAAATCAGCTTATTTAAAATATTGCAATACATTTTATCTAGTACTGTGAAGCCAGCTACCTAGATTCTCAAAAAATTAAAATGTTTCATTTTCAAACAAAAACGTTCGAGTTAAGGTGGACAGATACTGCAAGAAATATAGTACGAATAGTTAATCATTAACTATTTCAAGAACTGTCAGCTTTTGTCACTTTAACACATGTAGATCTTAGATCCGCCAAGGAATACAATATATTCGCCAATGGATACAATGATTTACCGTGTAAGGTACGATGAACTCTGCCTTGGCGTCAGAAGTCTCTAAACCGAAGATAACAGCGCTGATTTTCTTATCCACAATCATTGATATCGTGGCCTCTTCTTGGTACGAGAAGATACAGTTAGTAATCAGCGCCTGCTGTTCAGCGCCACCTGGTAGTTCCTGGAACTCAAGCCTGATAACGAGGCTCTCCTGGAAATCAACGAATGCGAAACGGTAGAGATTGATCATTCCAGATCCGTTGAATTTGGCCATTCTGAGAGCTGGATCAATATCGACGTATTCATACGTGACGGTGATGCCATTCGTGGAAGAGTCCGCAAAAGGTCTAGACAGGTCATCAAAGGTCATAATAACTTCCGACTTACATTCTAAAACATATGGAAGAAATTTGTACTATAATAATATTCATAGAGGTATATCTAAATTGAATACGGGTCCATTATTTCACATATTTGTTTTACACTTAAGTTAATATCGCTGACCATTAAGGTTAGAGGAAGGCAGAATGGTGACCATCCTGGTGCAGCCGCAATCAGCGGCGACGAAAGCGGTCCCAAGCGGACATCGCATAGAGATGTTTCCTGACGGCGCCATTTGTATAAATCTCTCTTCGTCGGTAACATCAGGGAAGTTTGTGCAAACTGAAAAACGAGAGTTTCATTGTTTTCAGGTACATCTTTTCATTTATTAATTTGACACTTTTAATTGATAATGATACATGTAACCCCCCCCCCCCCCCCAAAAAAAAAAAGCAAACTGTAATGTTTATGTCTGTTGATCCATTTAAGATAATAACTTCTTTATAAGCCAATTATCGTTTAATTTTCTATTCTCTATGTTTTCAAACAGGAATACATACACGAAGAAACTTGACTTGTAAAAGTGACTTGTATGACCAGTCTTTAATTGTTATGCATGATTTGAACACTAAGTGGTAAATTTTTATGGCTATACTTGGTTTCCTTTAACTTTTTGTGCCTTGCGTTTTATGCTACTAAATCATGTGATATAGGGACTTTATGACCACTGTAATGGCGGAGACGTCATTATGTGTGCAGTTTTAGTATTACATCTGTCACAATTATCATAAACGATGCATGTCTTGGTGAAGACTCACTAATGTGCACTGTTCAACGAGATTGTAGACAAATTTATGTGTATTACTCTCTGTATATAAAAACTTTTGAGTCTTACTCAAAATGATTGCCAAGCTAATGTACAATAAGTTCCTTTGTATAAATAAAATTAAATACACATCTACATGTACATGTATACCGGTACTGCTGTTTATCCCATTTAAAAAATGTATATAAAATAATGCAGCTCTTTCAATGTTTTGTATCATGCACCTAAGAAATAATTAAGTGTTCCAAGGTTAGCTTCGCTAAGGTTATTTCAACTGATAATTTGAAAATTTGGAAACATTGGAATAAAGGAAACAATTGAATAATTAAATACTTGGAAACAATTAACAAAATTGAATTTCAATGAGAAAAACTCACCAACAGGAGCGACAATTCTGTTATCTTTTGGCGGACATTCGGACAAGCACGTTGGATCTGTGGTGCACCCCACGCCCTGTACGTAAGCGTTATTGCCGGACGGACAACAGGAAGCCACGGCGGTTCCATTCAGACATACCCAGAATGCACTGCAGTAGTCCGCCATTGCTATAGTGCCAGCAATCTTCCCGATACAAGGACCTACAATTGAGAGTTTTTGAAATAACGACTCTGAATATGGACTTGAATATGTACATTGTAAATTAAAAAAAATAAAGAAATGTTCTGTTTGGCATTTAAATGAAGAGAATATAAATGTTCATTGTAAAATCAAATATTCTCGTCAGTTAAGTTTCAGTTTTAAACAGATATCTATTCCTGTATACATGTATTTTATTTTGTTAATGTGGAAACGAAGTAGTTATATTAAATTTTACATGTTGAGTATACATTTTGTGGTGGAGTTAGATTTGTTACAATCCTTATACCTCTTGAAACAGAAAATTAAACTCTAATGAATATCAGTAATTTGAAGAATATAAATTATATAACTTGCTGCCTATGTCTTTTTGACATCAATATGACCGGGTCACCCTATCTTTCCCTTATAATCCTCTATGTAAAAGATATGTCTAGGATGTCAGCTTTCCTACTTAAAATTATGACTTAATGTCAATATGCCATATTATCTGCGCTTACCAACGTAGGCAGTAGCTACTAGGTGCTAGCATTGACAACTAACGCCCATTTTAGGTTCAGTACCTATCTGTACTAAACATACACTATTTAGACTTTTACTTTTATGAAATACTATTCTTTCACCAAAGGGACCCCCTCTATCTCCAATTTAAGACCATGCAAGGCTATGTAAGAAGATGTACTGTTGTCTGTATTGACCTTCATCGAATGTGAATGGCGGCATAGCTTACCTTACTAAAAAGGCACAATCCTGTTATACAAGAAAACTGTTCGAACACTTACTGTCTGGGCAGTATACTTCATGGGCGGGTTGACATGTGAGATGATTTAAATTCCAAAACTGGCCCCAGGGACACACGTGCATGAATTCCAGTGCCTTTCCATCAGCGTCAGGTAGCATGTAAATGAACTTTTTACCTTAATTATTCCTGAATGATATATTGGGAAAATTTGAATGAAAAAGCACACTATTTGCAGCGGTATTGCCGCTTTAAATAAAGCAGAATTTCTAAAGAGAAAAAAAAAATGCTTTGATACAATTTTTTAAACGTGGACATGCATCCGATAATGTTACATACATGTACCTGAATGAATTACATTTTTAGTTTTTAGCTCACCTGAGCCAAAGGCTCAAGTGAGCTTTTCTGATCAAAATTTGTCCGTTGTCTGTTGTCGTTGTCGTCGTCGTTGTTGTTAACGTTTCACATTTTCATCTTCTTCTCAAGAACCACTGGGCCAATTTCAACCAGACTTGCTAAAAAGTATCCTTGGGTAAAGGGGATTCAAGTTTGTTCAAATGAAGGGCCACGCCCTTTTCCAAGGGGATATAATTATGAATTTGAGAAAAATTAATGCCAGTTTTAAAAAATCTTCTCCTCAAGAACGACTGAGCCAGGAAAGATAAAACTCATGTGGAATCATACTCAGGTAGTGCAGATTTAAGTTTGTTCAAATCATGACCCCCGGGGGTAGGGTGGGGCTAAAATGGCCGATCAAAGTTTTACATAGGAAATATAGGAAAAATCTTTAAAAATCTTCTTCTCAAGAACCACTGGGCCAGGAAAGATGAAACTCACGTGGAATTATCCTCAGGTTGTGTAGATTCAAGTCTGTTCATACCATGATCCCCGGGGGTAGGGTGGGGCCAAAATGGCCGATCAAAGTTTTACATAGGAATATATAGGAAAAATCTTTAAAAATCTTCTTCTCAAGAACCAATGAGACAGGAAAGATGAAACTCATGTGAAATTATCCTCAGGTAGTGTAGATTCAAGTTTGTTCAAATCATGACCCCCGGGGGTAGGGTGGGGCCAAAATGCCCGACCAAAAATTCTCATGGGAATATGTAGGGAAACCTTTTAAAATCTTCTTTTCAAGCACTTCAAAGCCATGATTAGTAGTATTTATGTAGAATTATCCTCAGGTAGTCTAGATTCTAGTTCGTCCAAATCATGATATACATGTGCTTTTTCCTAGCTGATGTGCTCAGGTGAGCGCTGTGGCCCCTGGGCCTCTTGTTTTTGTTCAGTATGATGATTTAATAATTTGAGGAGTACAATATTTATCGAAGTGAATGTTACGTTTCGAGATTTATAAGGATTGAAATACAATTAAATAAATAAAAAACGGGGGAAAAATGAAAATAACATGCATTCGACAGAAAACGATGAGTCAATGAATATGTAACCGAAACGACATTTCTGACGATGAAAATGTGCAAATATTGACCAAGAGTATGTTACAGGTAATAAAGCTGCTGTAAGAAATACATTTCTGAACAATATGTATCAGTGGGAAAGTGAAAGTTCACGATCTCAAAACTTCGAAAGAACACAAAAATCTTTGACATCATATTATGCAATCTGACCCCCTAAAATTAAATGAAGCATAAAGCAGGCACTGATATGCCTGTCATCAAAAAATGGTGGGATAAAAGAAAATAAACGCCACAATCCGATTGCAAATTGGATCCAATAGCATGTTTCATACTTAAACTCCATTATTTCAATTCTTATTCATAGACAAGTTCGAAGACGGATGCACTAACATTAGTTTCAATGTTTTGCGTTTCGGGTTATACACAAAGGACAATACCTGTAACAAATTGATTTGCACTGAGCATAATTTTAAAATAGAGGTTGACATTAGAATCAATTTGCCTTCATAACGAACATTCTGTATTTTAAGTGTTGGGGAACCTTAAACAAAAATAAAATTATCTCAATTATTTACCTATATCCTACACTCAAAGGTGCGTTTCGTTCAATATAATCAAACCAGAAGTCTCTGTCGAGACTGAAGCTCTACTGGTTTGAACTTATAGCAAAGGAAGAGAAAAGTACTTAAGCAGCTGGGATTTGAAACTAAATAGAATAATGATCGTTGATAAAGTCTCTTTATGTTCTTAGTGTAGTCTACTTGTGTGCCAAGTTATACTGAAATCAGACCAAAACTGTAGGAGGAGTAGCATTTTGAAACAATTTTACAGACATTTCTATTTTTAGTAACCACGGCAACACCGTTCATCGAAATCAAAAACCGATAAACAGAATTATGTATCTTAGTGTATTCTACTTGTGTGCCAAGTTATTATGAAATCAAACCAAAACTGTAGGAGGAGTAGCATTTTGAAAGAATTTCACAGAAATTTCTATTTTTAGTAACCACGGCAACACCGTTCATCAAAATCAAAAACTGATACACAGAATTATGTATCTTAGTGTATTCTACTTGTTTGCCAAGTAATACTGAAATCAGACCAAACCTGTAGGAGGAGTAGCATTTTGAAAGAATTTCACAGAAATTTCTATTTTTAGTAACCACGGCAACACCGTTCATCAAAATCAAAAACCGATATACAGAATTATGTATCTTAGTGTAGTCTACTTGTGTGCCAAGTTATAATGAAATCAAACCAAAACTGTAGGAGGAGTATCATTTTGAAAGAATTTCACAGAAATTTCTATTTTTAGTAACCATGGCAACACCGTTCATTAAAATCAAAAACCGATACACAGAATTATGTATCTTAGTGTAGTCTACTTGTGTGCCAAGTTATACCAAAACTGTAGGAGGAGTAGCGTTTTGAAAGAATTTCACAGAAATGTCTATTTTTAGTAACCACGGCAACACCGTTCATCGAAATCAAAAACCGATACACAGAATTATGTATCTTAGTGTAGTCTACTTGTGTGCCAAGTTATATTGAAATTAGACCAAAACTGTAGGAGGAGTAGCATTTTGAAAAATTGTTTACAGACAGACGGACAGACAGACAGAAAGACGGACAGACAGACAGACAGACAGACGGACGGACGCCGGACGCATTACTATCGCATAAGCTCTTCTGGTCTCTGACCAGTAGAGCTAAAAACTAAAGATAAAAACGTCACACACTATTACATACATGTATCAGCTACTTATTAGAGTAACGCTGGAATATAATCATTCATAAATAGAAATATTTGCCTGAAAAGGGAAAATAAAGATAAATACTTAATAAAAAAAAAAATAATCAGCGATGAATACGATGAAATCGCTTATTTTTGTTGAGGTGGGGGGATTTTTTGCGGTTTTAAGGAATGAAGAGACCCACGAATAAATGCCCACTACGAAACTCAAATTTACTACAGAACAATTCTTAAACCAAATCAATTCCCGATGATCTAACAAATTTTCCTCAAAATACAAACATTTTAATTTTGAATATATAAATTTTAGCAAGAATAAACACAATGATAAAAAAAATCTCCCCAAAGGTACGAAATTATGTCTTATGTCTTAAAACTATTTTGATTGAAAATATTGTAAACGCGATTATTTTGACGAGTTAAAAAAAATTGCTTACGAATATTGACGAGTATTTATTTTGAAGAAATATTGAATAAAAATGTAAAATATAAATATTGTTGATTTCGAAAAAAATGGCGACGGTAGTGAAAGACGCATAGAGCTCAGCTCCGCTGTCGTGGGTCGAAAAGGTGCAGAATTTCATATTTATTCAACATATATAGACAAAATATTAGTTGTCCATCAGCATCTGATCCAGGAGAATTAAAAAAAAGAGTTTTGAAAAAGTGTGAAGAACGGATTATTACGGACTTTGTCTACAATCTGAGTTCTCGTGAGTAGCGCTTACGGGTTCTGTGTTATTGTGTTACTATTAATAGACTTTTGATCTTGTGTATCTTGTGTATTGTGTCAACCGTATTCTTGAAAATTCTGTGACAATGTCTGAGAGATCAACTAGACTAAGTTCTAAATCAGAATCGAGTCCCCAGAATAAGGAGACAAACAAATCCTTAATGGATGAGATCAGACGTCTGAAATCTGATATTATCACGAAAAAGGATCTCGAAAAGGCTGTTTGAAAACATTGTGAAAAACGTTGTTTCTCAAATCTTAGATGATAAAATGAAGGAATTCAGTGAAACATTAAAAGAAAATACAGAAAGTTTGAAGAAGGTATTAGAAGAACAAAGCGAGACGATAGATAGATTAAGTGAGAAAGTTAAAGACCTAGAGGCAGATTTGAATGACACAAAACAACTCGCTCGGGAGGCATATCTGACCGCTAATCGTAATGAACAATATTCGAGGAAAAATACTTTTAAGATCAATGGTGTTCCTCAGGAAGAAAAAGAGGATGTCGTAGAAGTGGTTCAGAATGTGCTAGTTAATGGGTGCGGGGTTGGAATTCAGGAGAAGGACATCATAGCAATTCACAGAATTCCGGGAAAAGCAGACGGACCAAGGCCAATCCTGGTGAAATTAAAGAACAACGTAGCAAAAGCGAATATAATGCGCAAGAGGTCAGATATTAAAAAGAATACAAATGGGAAGACCTGGCTGACAGACGATGTGACGAGACTGAATGGGATCCTCATAAACCGATTAAAAGACCACCCAAAAATAGACAATGCGTGGTACTTTAATGGAAGTGTTTATGGACTGGTGAACGATAAACGAATGAAGTTTGACTTGTTGGACAATCTTGATGAAAAAATCAAATAGTGTAAAGTGTCATTTAGACAACCCGGAATTTTAATTTCCATCCATGTGATTATTCCGGAACTTTGAGGTCAATTGACGTCGACGTTTTTGCTATTACTTTAAAATATTAAATTCCGGTTGTGACTTTTTGCCTGTACGCGAATATGGCCCATTGACAATTTTCGAGCTAGCCAATTTTTGAACTGTTTGAATGCTTTTTACAAACTTTTTCCTGTTCTGCTACTTCTTTCCTTTCTACTCTATCTTTCTCTTTACAACTCAATTCTGTGTTTATTCAAGATTCGTACAGAAGCTCCAGGTTCCGTCAGAGGTAAATTTCTTAATTTATCCATCATGTCTTTGAAAATATTATCAGCTAATTGTCAAGGATTGGGGGATATCAGCAAACGAAGAGATGTTTTTAATTATCTTAGAGGAATGAATTATAATATTTACTGCCTTCAGGACACTCACTTTACAACTGAAATAGAAAATGAAATCAGAAGCATGTGGGGTTTTGACTGTTACTTTAGTTCTTTTTCATCAAATGCAAGAGGTATAGCAATTCTATTCAATAATAATTTTGAGGTTAAAATGTCTAAGGAAAAAGGAGATGTGGATGGTAATTTTCTTCTTTTAGATTTTACTGCTGAAGAAAAAAGGTTTCTCTTATGTTGTATGTATGGACCAAACAATGATAACCCTGATTTTTATGAAAGATTACATGAGTACATTAATGATTTTAATTGTGAAAATGTTATATTATGTGGTGACTTTAACCTTGTTTTAAATCCTGAATTAGACTACTATAATTATCAACATATAAATAACCCTAATGCAAGACAGAGGGTTATAGAGCTTATGGAAGATAACAACTTAGTTGATATTTATAGACAAAATAATCCAGATGCTTTGAGATATACTTGGAGAAAAAAAAGTCCCATTAAGCAAAGTAGATTACCCCGGTAGATTTTTTTCTTGTATCGGAGAATTTACTGTCAAGTGTTACAACAAGTTCTATAGAACCTAGCTATAGGTCCGACCACTCGATTATTACTTTATGTTTAAAGTTCAATGATTTTAAGAAAGGCAAAGGATTATGGAAATTTAATAATTCTCTTTTATATGATGAAGAATTTTTAAACTCAATTAAGGGGGTGATACAAAGGGTTAAAGAGCAGTATGCAGTTCCAGTATACAATATAGATAACTTGCAATCTATTGAAGATGAAAATATTGTATTTTTAGTCAATGACCAGTTATTTTTAGAAACACTTCTTATGGAAATTAGAGGGAAATGTATTTCGTATTCGTCTTTTAAAAAAAAATCCAGAATTTTTAAAGAAGAAAAACTTATAAAAGAAATAAGTTCCCTGGAGGAATTGGCACAGAGATCTACAAGCAATAATGAAACTCTTGAAGAAAAAAAAAAGAGTTGGAAGATATTAGAAAAGAAAAAATGGCTGGTGTATATATAAGGTCAAGGGCAAGATGGATAGAAGAAGGGGAGAAACCGACAAAATATTTCTGTAATCTCGAGTCAAGAAATTTCATAAGTAAAATTATTCCAAAAATTAAATTAGAAAATGGAGAGACAGTTTATAATCAGTCAGATATCTTAAAAACAACCAAACAATATTATGAAAATTTATATAGAAATGTAGATGATGTCATTGAAAATGTTAACCTTCAGGAGGAAATGAATTTTTCAGATATTAAAAAGCTTTCCAATGAAGAGTCAAGGTCATTAGAAGGTCAAATTACAATGAAGGAGGCAGGAGAAACACTTTTTAGGATGAAATCAAATAAATCACCTGGCTCAGATGGCTTTACCTCAGAATTTTTTAAGGTCTTTTGGAAATTTATAGGCGTTTTTGTTGTCCGATCAATTAATTATGCATATGATCATGATATTTTAAGTGTAACTCAGAGACATGGAATCATTACCTGCTTACCGAAGGGTGACAAACCTAAACACTTATTAAAAAATTGGAGACCTATCTCTCTTTTAAACACAGTTTATAAAATTGCATCTGGTTCAATTGCGAATAGAATTAGAAGGTTTCTAGATAAAATTATACATCCTGATCAAACAGGCTTTATACAGGGCAGGCATATAGCTGAAAACAT